TACAACGCCTTTCATTGGCGTGACCTTCAGAAATACTTTGTCTCCCTGCTCAAACTCAAGCTCCCTTCTACGCTTGTTAGCGTAAGCCTTCTGTCGGCTCTGTGACTCTCTCAGCTTCACTCGGATCTCGATTACCTTCTGCACCGTGTCCTCGATCAACCTGGGACCTAAAACCTGTTTCTCGCCAACTTCATCCCAATAAAGGGGTGAGCGGCACTTGCGACCGTATAATGCTTCGAACGGTGCCATCTTGATCGACGAGTGATAACTGTTGTTGTAGGCAACCTCCACAGTGGGTAACAACTCCTTCCACGAACCACCACGCTCTAGAACACAAGCTCGAAGCATGTCCTCAAGCATCTGAATGGTTCGTTCCGACTAACCGTCGGTTTGCGGATGGTAAGCGGAGCTAAACTTCAACTTTGTCCCCATGGACTCGTTAAGTTTCTCCCAAAAATGACCAGTAAATCGCCAATAAATCGGGGATCTCTATCTGATATAATCTCTGCAGGAATGCCGTGAAGTCGAACAATTCCCTAGAGATACGTCTCGGCTAGCTGCTCTATTGACATGTCCATCCTGGTAGGCATAAAGTGGGCCAACTTCGTCAGTCTATCCACTACTACAATCGGTAACATCGCAATATTTAATTATAATATCTTTATTACCGACATCTCACATCTTCTTTTGGCTGCCATAAATGCCCTCTGGTATCGATTCTGACGCTCAGTATATTTTAATGCCTGATCTTATCTCATACTTTGTCGATTATACTGATTTTTAGTCATATCTCATACGCGACATTATTCTATAAATTAAATCGATAACCACTTCAATCTTCTTCAGCAATGGTCCGAAATAACAAATGGAGCTAGCACTTTCAAATATTCATAAATTTTATTCCTTTCTTCCACATAATATCATAAGAAAAATTTATCGATCTCGAGTGGAAAGATTGAGAGTGCTAATGCTCAATAATATTCCAATCGATATTCGATGGTTGATTGAAGCAAAAGTCTGACTATCTGGAAAATTCCAAAATTCTTATAAATATCTGCCAGGTATGGGTAGAAGCACTTTTTCAAAGAAACGTAGAGCAAAAAGAATAGATGGGTGCTTCAAATGTGCTCGATAGAACTGCGACACCCGATGCAAATCGGTGGGTTTTGTGTCCAAAAATTGAGAAGATAAAATAACTTTCATCAAGGATGGATTGAGTAAAGAATCTATGGATCAAAGACTCCAACTGATTCTTGAGACACATCCTAGTGGATATGTGCATCGAGATCTTATGTCTTTATGGGTCTGTTTCACAAATGAACAAAACCGCTATTGTCTTGAAAATATTGTTGCTAAGGATCCTGTTTGGAGGAACTGTCTCTGTTAACCCTGTTTTATTATAAGGTATCGAATATCTTATCCCTTCTGATAGATAACGCTCATTTAAAGCTCAACCATTTACTTGTCTGTCGCTTTTTGCCGATTGCGACAATATAATACTTATCTCTTCATAAACTTTCTCTTTAAATAGGCCG